CCAGCTGTGTGTGACTCTGAGGGTTTTCATCTGCTGCAGTGTAAATAGTTGAGGCAGGTAAGTGGGTCAGCTCCATCAGCGTGGGAAGCCGGATGCCAGCAGAGTATCGCCTTGCTCTGAGGACATTTCCTGTGGGACAGGGGAGCTGAATGCCGGCTGAGAGTGCAGCGGTTTTCTCTCATCACCGTGTTGACTATAGCATTGGTGCCTGGGAACCCCCATTCCCCCCCCCAGGCCACAGGGCTGCTCGCTGCTTCCTGGGCAGCTGGCCCCGAGGCGGGTGTCATCTCCGCAGGCGCTGGCTGCTGCCCTCTGGCTGAAGCGTGCGAGGGGTGCGGCTGCAGGCTGCCTGTTTGAGGGCTGCCTGTCACCTGCTCTGCCCGTGGACTCTGCTGGGCAGGTGCGGGGGGACAGGCGGGGTCAGGGCCTGCCGTCTGCACTGGGAATGTGTGCGAGCTTCCCAAAGAATGGGAAAATGGGAGTGCCTCATCTTTTGCACACATCAGGAAAAGGGAAACGAACGGGCTGCCAGAAAATGAGTGAGGCTGTTTGCCCAGTTCAGTTCCTGGATGCTTCGATATTCCAGCTTGGAACGCTGAGACTTGGAAAGATCAACGGGGTATGAAACGACTATCCAGGTTTTTGACTTGTCAAGAGTTGAATGACACCTGCTCCTCTGCCTTGCTCCCTTTGGAGTTGGGAAGGCCATCTTTGCCTTGCCTTCCTAAGAGTGCCAAATGCCAGCCGTTGCCCACAGTGCTGCTCTGCCTGGCACCTTGGGACAGGCAGGCACCTCCTCCCCCAGGTCCGTTCTGTCATGCAGGAATTCTGCCCGTGTCCTAGGGCCACTGGATTTCTCTCTCGATCTCCAGGTCTTTAATTGCCCCACCAATCGGGACCCTCTCTCAGCTCTCTGAAACCTTGCAGGGAGCCTCCAACACGCTCAGACTTGCATTCCAATAGGGCGGGTAGCCAAGGTGGGTTGACAGCCCTCAGTTTGCAAGGCCTGAGCGCGGCTGCCGACGAAAGGACATTGGGGAGGCCACTCATTCATGCGACTTGCTGGCACTTAACGCACAGAGGAAGCAAAGGCATCATCGTCCTGCGATAGTAAAGAGGAGCATATCGAATGGTGACTGTATAGTGGAACTTGTGGAGGGGTGGGCTGGGCACCCTACCTCCCTTGGACCCCTGTTCTCGGGCTCTGGACGCGGGTGGATTTGGGGGGGCAGGGGCGTGCCCAGCCCACCCAGGCAAAAAGAAGCAGGACAGTTGCTGCCATCAACTAACAGGCCAAGGCATGGATCACTCCAAGGAGGAATCCCCCCTCCCCATGAGAGATAGAAGGTGGGGGGGGGACCTTGGGTTGCAGCTCCAGAACGAGAATCTGCACCAAACCTTCCTGAGGCCTCCCAGCCAGGGCCTCGGAACGACCGGCACCCTCTAGAGTCAAGGAGCAGATAGCAGCCGACATCTCTCTCCCCCGGCCCCTCCCTCCCTCCCGGGCTGCTTGTTCTGTCCCCTTGCGGGGCGGGGGGGCCCCCCCCGGGATGCTGGGCTCAGTGAGCCGGAAAGGAGAGCAGGTCTGACAGCCTCTTGCTCTGTCCGTTCCCTGGTTTCTGCAGCAGATTCCTCTGTGCCAAGTGCCTGCTTGGAGAAAAGGCCTGGCTCCCTCCCAGACAGGACTCCACTCCGCTCTGCTCCTCAAGGGCCTTCTGTGGGGCAGGAGGGCCGTGTGGGGTGAGAAGAGCCCGGGCTGCGTTTGGTGGGCTTGTGGCACAAGGGCTGTGCTGGCGTTTGCTTCATGGGCCAACCCCCCCACCCCCCCGGGCTTCCCTCCCCACATGGCCCCTCCCTCAGCCGGCCCTAGCGAGGGAGACGGCTCCGGGCGTGGGGCTGCCCCCCCCGCCTTTTGGACCAGGTCTTCTCCTGGGCCTTCCCGGCCTGTTTGGCTGCCTCACTAGAAGCCCCCCCTCCCCCCCTCCTGGCCTCGTGCAGCAGTCACAAGATGGCAATTTCAAAAAAAAGTGTGGTGTCCGAGTAAGTAGAGGCACGAAAGGTCCAGGTTCTCGGAGCGGTGGGACCGTCCCCGTTGGACTCTGAGGGCTGCTGAAGCAGGAGGGGCCTGATTGGCTGGACGCCCGCTGCCTCAACCAAAGGCCTGGTGGAAGAGCACCGCTTCACAGGCCCTGGAGGATTGCAGGAGATCCCGCGGGGGGGCCCCGGTCTCCACTGGGAGCTCGTTCCACCAGGCTGGGGCCAGGGCCGAAAAGGCCCTGGTCCCTGTTCAAGGCGAGGTGGATGTCTGGAGAGCCAGTTTGGTGCAGTGGTCAAGTGCAGGCGGACTCTAATCTGGGAGAACCGGGTTCGATTCCCCACTCCTCCTCCACTTGCAACTGTCTGGATGACCCTGGGCAAGCCATAGTTCTGATAAGAGCTCTTCTTGAAAAAGAGCAGTTTCTGCCAGAGCTCTCTCAGCCCCACCTCCCTCACAGGGTGTCTGTTGTGGGGAGGGGGAGGGGAAGGAGTTTGTAAGCCGCTCTGAGACACCTTTGGGTAGTGAAGGGCCATGGGGTATGAATCCAATCTCTTCTTCTTCTTCTTTTGGGTGGTGGTCCGCAGAGCACTTTTTTGGGCACATATGGGGAGAGACAGTCCCGTAGATATGTTGGTCCCTGACCGCATAGGGCTCTAGCATGGAAGAGTAACACCTTGAAACGGATCCGGAATTCTCTCGGCAGCCAGTGCAGTTGGTGTAGGACTGGCCCGAATGTGTGCCCACAGAGACATCACAGTCAGTAGGCGTGCTGCCACATTTCACACGAGCTGCTACTTCCAGATAAGGTACAAGGGTAGCCCCGCATAAACCGCGCTACAGTAGTCTAACCTGGAAGTGACCGTTGCATGGATTGCTGTAGCCAAGTCGTGGGAGGGAAGGTAGGGGACTAGTTGCCGAATCCAAGGCTCCTCACTCTTGGTGCTGGTGACAGAAGTGCCCCGCCCAGAGTTGGGAGCTGAATTCCCATATCTGTCGTCACCCCCCACCCCCACCCCCGCAACTCAGGCATAGGACCTCTGTCTTCAGTGGATTCAACTTCAGCTGACGATAGGCTTATTCCGGGGTGTATCTGGAAGGAGACGCACACTTACTGAATCCTCTAGTGCTGAAGTAAGAAACTCGTGTTAACCTGTGAAGGGGGATGGAGGTCTGGCACCTGGAATGTCAGATGGTAGTTAAATGAAAGGATTCCAGATTTGGGGGGGGGGGGGGGATGGATGGATGGATGGATGCTGGAATATTAACGTCAGGGACGGTCGGCCCTCCTGCCAGGCTGGGAGGCCTCGCTGCGGCTCAGAGAGGCCCTGTGGGGGTGGCCCCCTTTGGCTCCCGGGCTGCCTCCTCTCCAGCAGAACGAAGCGAAAGAACCCCCAAGATGGCCTTTGGGCTCTGCCTTAGCCAGGGAACGCTGAGCAGCACAGGAGCTTCCTGGACTCCAGCCTAGCCGGGGACCCTCCCCCCTCCCCCTCGGTCACTCTGCAGAGTGCCTGTCCCATGGAGGCTCCTAACAGCACACGACGCCTGCCCTCTGCTGGGCCTTGCCTGGCATCGCAAAGGGTCTGGGCTTTTTCCCCGCCCGATGCAGTCCAGGCTCATGTAAGACAGCTAGCAAGGATCCCCTTTTCAGGAGGGCAGCCGTCTCTCGGTTTGCTGCAAACGAACACCTCTCTGTCCAGCATCTGACGACGAAGGAAGTGGCCTCCAGCCTTGGAAGCGTCGGCTGTGTGAGTCTTTCCGGTGCTGCCCAACTCCCCTTTTCCGTATGGCTCCTCCTCAGGGTACGCTTAACTGCACCTTTCCTCATCCAAGAAACCGTCTCTATGCAAGAAGGTGAGGACTGCTGCGCTGCTGGAAGCAGGGTGCCTGGTGCGCGTGTGTGAAATATACTGGGTTCGACACACGTTAGTGATCAGCTCATGCTTTATTGTGAATTAGCTCAAACTAAGGACAAATTAGCAGGACCGAAGCCCTGCTTAAATCCATACCCAACACCACACCCCACACACACCCACTAACAGTGATAGGTTATTTACAGAGGTCCTCCTGGGCAATAGGTCCCTCCCAGGATCCTAACAGTCTATTGTTCTGTGTCTCCAAGCTGGGCCCGTCAAGGGTTAGACTCAGTACATAACAGTGGATCAGGCAGGTGGTGTTTTGGGGGGAAATGAAAGATTGTTCAGCCATTTGGACACCTCCTGTGTAAATCTGGAAAGGCTTGAGACTCCCTGCCTGGCAAGCAAGCGTGTGGGAAAGAATGGGCCGGGAGCCAGCCAGCCAGCCAGCCCTCAAGGTGGTTGGTTTGTGCTGCTGCTGACTGGAGAAACGGCAGGAACCCATGCATGCCTCTCAATGTCAGCTGTGCGGATTTCTGCGACACCCAATGGAGGAAATTGCAGAGGTGCATTACTGTGTAAAGGGGAAGATATTTCATTGTGAACATCTCTACTCTAAATTAAGCTTTTGTTGAATAATCTCTTCCCAGCGTGTCACAAAAGCTGCCGGAAAGCATTCCGTCTAGTACAGTTTTATTCCATCTTTCTCCGAAGTCCTCAGGGCAGCATCTGGCACACATGGTTTCCCCCTTCCTCGTGTTATCTCCACAACATCCCTGTGTAGTAGGCTAGGCAAAGAGAGTGTGACTGGCCCAGGGTCACTCCGTTAAACTTCAGTGCCGCAGCAGGATTCAGGTGGCAGTCCGATTCCCCCTTTTCTTCTTTATTTTCTGCAGTGCAGGCAGGAAAAAGGACCCATCTGAGAGAGGGGATGCCGAGGGTGAAGTTATAGCTGAGCTGTCTGAAATGGCCGGGCACCTGCTGTCAACCCGGACTTCCTCATGGCTGAAGACAGCAGACGATGCCCACCAAGGACGCTTGGCAGGGGCTTCTCCATTTGGAACACGAGCGCAGCGTTGCTGGGCCTGACCAAAGCTCCGGCTGGCTGTGGAGTCTTTATCCCGCCATTCCTCCAAGGAACTCGGGGAGCTGTGGATGATTCTTCCCCCTTTCTGTCATCACGACAGCCCCGTAAGGTGGGTTAGGCTAAGAGAGAGCCCCCCCCCCCGGTTACCCAGTGGACTTCGGTGCAGTGGAGGTTTGGGCAGAGGTCTCCAGGAGCCTTGTCCAGCACTCTCGATTGCTACACCGCACTGTCCCCAGATCTGCAGCCTCTTCCCCACGGTGGCCAAGCAGAAGCACCTGGAAGGCCTAGAAGCCGGACCCTCTCTGTCTTGTTTCTCCCCTCCCCCTCCTAACCCTGTTACATGATATTCTGAGGCTGCCGTCTGCCACCACCGCTAATAGCCCTAAACCATCTCCTCTGTGAATTTATTTGATCCTGTTTTAAAACCAGCATGACCAAATTTCATTGATTAATTGTCTTATGTGAAGAAGTCTGTCCGGAGTGCTGCCCATTTAGCTTCATGGGGTAATGTGGGCTGAGGACCTGTACGGGTGACCATTGATAAGGCGCTGGCTGTCAGGAGGCCGTACAGAGGAGGGCTACTGAGAGGAGGCTCAGAGCCAGGGTGGGGCCATTCAGACATGTGGTGTGTGTGTGTGTGGAAGGTGGGGAAGAATCCATGCCTTGGCCTCATCTCCAGTGGATTAACTACAGTGCTCTTAAGCAGTACGGGTAAATAGTTCAAGCTGCCAATTGTGTGCAGCTAGTAGTCAGTCTGTCTTTATCCAATTATTTGCTGGTGGCCTCTTTGTTTTGTGCCTGTGTGTGATATTAATTTTTCATGTGCTTATTGTGGGAAATCTCTGCTGGTTGTGCATAGAGAGGGGCAGCTCAGTGCTGGTGAACAGTCAGGCTTTCTTTCTTGGACATTCATTAAACTGGTTCGAATAACGCAACACATACAATGCATGGGCATGGCTGTGACTCTGTTGGAACTGGGATACAGACTACACAAATACCGCAAGAAGTGCATGCAATTAACAACAATTGTAAGAATCAGTTGACTCTTGTTGTTGAACTTCAAGCTGTTTTAATCTTTCTGTTTTTCAACAGACCAACTTCCCCAGAGTTTTACCGCTCGTTTCGACACATTCTTTCTCAACGTAACGGTTCAGTTTTGCATCCTTACAATATCTGACATCGGACTCTCTCCAATTCCACGTAACTTCAAGAGCTCTTGACAAAGTACTTTTACAAACGAACGTTGAGAAAGAATGTGTCGAAACGAGCAGTAAAACTCCGGGGAAGTTCGTCTGTTGAAAAACAGAAAGATTAAAACAGCTTGAAGTTCAACAACAAGAGTCAACTGATTCTTACAATTGTTGTTAATTGCATGCACTTCTTGCGGTATTTGTGTAGTCTGTATCCCAGTTCCAACAGAGTCACAGCCATGCCCGTGCATTGTATGTGTTGCGTTATTCGAACCACCCCCCCGCCCTGAATACTTGATATTGCTGTGAAGGCAATCTGCATGCATAGGGAATGGTGGGTATCAGGAGCTCAGATGCCTTTTGTGTAGGAAGGAGCCCCGTCACTCTCTCTGTCCTTCCAGAATGCTATAGAATCAGACCACATGACTGCCCAGCCATTGGCTGAACATGGGGGAAAGTGAGCGGGAAGGAGAGAAAGAGATGATAGAATGGAGGACCCTTGTGCAGTTAATGGGGAAGGAGCTGGTGGCGGGTGTGGGTTAGATCTGATCCGAGAAGGACTCAAAAGTCCAGTTGCTGAAAGCAAAGCCCCAAGCTTCTCTCGCAGTGTCCCCTGGGAGGAGAGCAAAGGAGGCCTGAGCAGGACTCGTGAGAGGAGGGAAGGCTGCCTCCAGCCCTTCCGCATCAGGAGCCCTTCCCTCTGGTACGGCAGCCTCATCTCTGGCCGTCTCCTTAAATATCATTAGTCACCAGAGTGCTCTGCTCTGTGTTTTAAAAATATTGATTATCAGACTCTGTATCAAGAATTTTACAAAGTAAGCCAACTGGCCTTGCAAGTTGCACACATTATTTTGCTTTTCGTGATTTGGGGGGAAGTGCAGTGCATTTTGCTGGGTGCTGAATCCTCATACCTGTACACCCAGCAGTAACACAGCTCTGGCCTCAGAAGGGTTATCAGCCATCCCAGCAAGGTTTTGAAAGGGACAGATGAGGTGCACCACAGGCTGAGGAATCCCAAATGTTGGGGCTGGGTTCTGCTTGCCCACAGGCTTTGCATTTCTGTCTCCAGAGGCCAGCATGCGAGTGAGCAAAGACCCACACGGTCATCTGCGCACCTTCTCTTGAGGAAGCAGCGCAAGGTTCAGTCAGTGCTCCTTGTGCCCAGGGTGGTTCAGCCATATGTGCCTGGAGGCAACGGAGGTGCACCGGAGGGGCTGACTTTTGCAGGGTTGACTTGGCAGCACCGACTGGGGCTGGTGCTGGAGCCCACAAACCCTTTGTTTCAACCGTGACACCTATACATGTCCCTAATTCAGTAGGAGCTGCTTTTAATGACCTCAAGGTGAATCCTGTCCATCTGTCTCCTTCAGGTGTTCCCCCTTCTTTGCCATGGAAAGGGTGGTCTTCTGCCTACTGTTGACGAGCGCAGCCGTGAGGGCCCTGATGTGTCCCACAAGGTGCCTGTGCCAGAGCCTGTCTCCATCCGTCACCATCCTCTGCACCAGGACGGGGCTTCTCTTTGTCCCTCCCACCATTGACCGGCGAACAGCAGAGCTCCGGCTGATGGACAACTTCATCACCACACTCCGGCGGAAGGATTTTGCCAACATGACCCACCTGATTCACTTGACGCTGTCCCGAAACACCATTAGTCAGATTATGCCGTACGCATTTTTTGATCTTAAAGGCCTTCATGCTTTGCACCTGGATAGTAATAGACTCACCTATATCAATGAGGATCACTTCAAAGGGTTATCCAATCTGCGACACTTGATTCTCAGTAACAATCAATTGAACTATATTTCTCCTGGATCTTTGGACGATTTCATCGATGTGATTGAGGATCTAGATCTATCTTATAATAATCTTGTTAACATCCCTTGGGAAACGATTGGAAGGCTTTCTAATGCCAACACCATCAGCTTGGATCATAACCTCATAGATTTTGTCCCTGAAGGAATTTTCTCAAACCTTCATAAGCTGGCTCGGTTGGACATGACCTCCAACAAGTTAAAAAAGATTCCCCCAGACCCTCTCTTTTCACGGATCCCTGTCTACGCCAAGCCAAAGGGGTCCCCTTTGTCCTCTCTGGTGCTGGGTTTTGGTGGGAACCCCTTGCACTGCAACTGTGAGCTTGTGTGGCTGAGGCGCCTGACCAGGGAGGATGACCTGGAAACTTGCGCCTCCCCACCAGAGCTGATGGGTAAGTACTTCTGGTCCATTAAAGAGGAGGAGTTTGTCTGTGAGCCCCCAATGATAACACACAGAACCCCAAAACAGGTTGTCATGGAAGGCCAGAGTGTTTCTCTGAAGTGCAAAGCTGTTGGTGACCCAGAGCCATACGTTCGCTGGATTTCACCTGGTGGGAAGCTGGTCTCCAACACTTCCCGGACAATATCCTATGAGAATGGCACCCTGGATATTTTGGAGACGTCTGGAGAGGAAAAGGGCATATTTACTTGCATAGCATCTAATGCTGCAGGAGAGTCCACGGCACCGGTTGAACTTGTGGTTGATTCATACCCTAACCTTGCAAACAGCACAAACTGTGACAAAGAAGCAGAGCCCAACCCCTCTGACATCTTGACCTCGGCCAAGTCCGGCTTCCCCAATGAAACCAAATCTTTCTCCCCAGAGAGGAAGGTGGCTGTTGCTGAGCTGACGCCCTCCTCCGCTCTCATCCAGTGGCCTTCCCAGCACCACATCCCAGGGATACGGATGTTCCAGATTCAGTACAATAGCTCGGCTGATGACATCCTGGTCTACAGGTAACGGCTGCTTGTGTCTCTCGTGCGAATGTCAAGTAGGATGACAGCTCAAGACTGAAACAGGCGAGAGGACCGTTAAATGGCTGTGCAGGGGGGGTGGATGTAAAAGACCTTCCCCTTCCTTCCCACAGTCTTTGCCCAAGAAGTGTGTATATGCGTTTGTGTGTGTGTGTGTGTGTGTGTGGGAGAGCTGCATGAGAGCGGGCTGTGGCTTTCTCCCGGGCCCCCTCTTTTCTTTAGTCTGTCTGCCCCTACTCAAGCTCTGCCCTTCCTTTCCCTGTCCACAGCTTGAGGCGCAGATCTGTGTGTGTGTGAACTGCTTTACGGACACCTTCTCTGGCCACCTGTCTGTTGCTGACTCAAGTTTCTTGTCTGTGCCCTGAATAAGCAAACAGGGATAGTCCAAAAAACCTTTATAATCAAACAGCTTTCTACTTTGGCTCTTCCTGGAGGGTGGGGAAATGGCCATCTGCTTCCCCCCTCTTTCCTTCCATAAAGGAAACTCATCTCCTCTTAGCCTGAAATCTGAGGGGTTTATTGCTCTCTCCCTGGGAAAGAATATTTTCCCTGGGATTAGGGCCTCCCTGAGTGTTAATTGAAGTCTCCTTCATCATTACAGTGGGGAATGGAGAAGGCCTGGTTCCCATGGCGAGGAGGCTCACAAAGCGGGCAAACACTGGCCCAATAGCAGGGGGGGGGGAGAGACTGACCCCTGGCAGTAGCACCAATGTGTTAAACTTAGAAAACTGAACATGTAGAAGTTTTATACTCTGCTTTTTTCAGGATAACAGCATTTGGACTTTAGATAATTGTTTAAAAACTCTGTTCTTATTTGATTTGTCACTCTCCTTCTTTAAAAAAAAATAGGCTGAATGCCTCAATTAACTAATTTCATTTCTCATACTTGATAATTTTCTCTTTGAAGACTTATTTGGGAAGCATTCTTTTGGGGCCAACGGTTAATAAGTCAGTAGGTATGTGCGTTTTGGTGTTAGAGTCTATAAAGATCAGGAGGGGCTAGATTGGTATTCATGCTCAAAGGGCACAGAGACTTCCCTTGTTTATCTTACAGACTTCACTGCCACAGACCATAGCTATGGCCTAATGGGAACTTGTTGGAACCAGTGTTCCCTCTAAGCTGAGTTAGTGTGAGCTAGTTCACAGTTTTTTAGCCTCTGGCTCACACATTTTTGTCTCAGCTCAGGAAGCAGGGCTCCAGAGCAAACTAATTTATGTGGTAGCTAAATCGCTTGCTCACAACTTTAAAGCCAGTAGCTCACAAAGTAGAAGTTTTGCTCACAAGACTCCACAGCTTAGAGGGAACATTGGTTGGAACTCGAGAAATTCCGGGAGGAGATGCTGCCCATCAGTGGCTAATAGGCATACATAGGGTGTGCCATGAGTGCTAATGTGTCAGGGTGGGTGGAGGAGACGGGAATAATAGCCATGGACTGTTGTTCCTTTGTTGCCAGTTTGTGGTCTGGTTCAGCATTAAGCAGAGCCTGTTTTTTTCTTGCATGTAGATTGAGGAATGTAGGTCAGTGAATGAACCGGTGACCATAGGCCAGGCACTTACTTGCCTTGAGAAGAAGGTGGGATTCTTGAGGGCTGTCAAATGCGCTGCACCCAGTTCCTGGTTTTTGTGCATTGTTCCCTTTCTGTGCTCTCCCTCCCTCCCTCCCTCCCTCCCTCCTCCCTCCCTCCCTCCCTCCCTCTCTCAGTGTTCTGACACAGAGAGAGCCAACAGGACCTCCCTCCCTCCCTCCCTCCCTCCCTCCCTCTCTCAGTGTTCTGACACAGAGAGAGCCAACAGGATAGCTGTGTCCCCACTGTGGTTGCAGCTGGCCAGCCGGCTTGTTCCCTTTACCCTTTCTAGGCTCGTGAGTGGGAGCCCTTGGGCTTCGGGCATTGACGGGATTTGGTTCCCTTGCAGGATGATCCCGGCCACCAGCAAGTCCTTCTTCCTCACTGACCTGATTCCTGGGCGTGACTACGATCTTTGTGTCCTTGCTGTTTACGAGGATGGCGTGACGTCTCTGACGGCAACCACGGTGGTCGGGTGTGCGCAGTTCACCACGGAGGAGGAATACCGGCAGTGCAGGTCCCTCCACGCCCAGTTCCTGGGTGGAACGATGATCATCATCATCGGAGGCATCATTGTGGCATCGGTTCTCGTTTTCATTTTCATCCTCCTGATGAAGTATAAAGTTTACGCCAATCATCACAAAAATAAAAACACTAAAGTGAGCAATGTCTGCTCGCAGACCAATGGCAGCCAGAGGGGCTCCGTGACTCATTCCAGCTCCAAACTGGTGGAGGGGCACATCAGTCTACATCAGGAATGCTCAGGAATGCCTGTCAAGGGCAAAGCAGCGAGAGATCGCGAGGGCGAAAGAGCAACTCCCACGGACACTGTTGCTCTACGGAACGAAGCATTGTTTCAGTAGCCATCTTGCTGGTTATTGATGGCAAGGCTGTGCAGAACAACTAACCGTGGTTGTATTTTATGCTTCACTACTATCGTCTATTTTTAAGATCAGATGGTTTAAAAATATTTTTTTAATCTGTAAATGTTCTTGCATTCTTACCTATTTTTGTTGCACTATATTAAATATAAAGTGTGTGATTTCCAAGGGTTCTCTACTGGTTCTTTTCTAGCATACCGAGTGTAAAGTCAGAATCAAAAGGTGGCTCTGACAAAAGATGGCTTTGCTGCAAATCATATTCTGGTGTAAATCATTAATAAGTACTGGCCTGATCCTGGGTAGAAGTACACGAAAAGAAGGGACTGCCGGGTAAGGATGCCTCAAACCGTGGAGTTGGTTGGAAGAGGCCTGGAAGTCCTCTCTGCCCAGTTGCCCGCTCAGTGTGGGAAACCCAGAAGAAGGACACCTTCCCTGACAGGAGGGTGTCCAGAGACACTCTCCACTGAGGCCGGGCTCCCCCGCCTTGCCTAGTCTTTGGCTGGACTGTGGAACCACTCTCACCAGGAGGAAAATCTCTTCTAATGTTGGACTGAAATCTCCCCCCCCCCCGAAACTCAGGCCCGTTAGGTACTTTCTTAAAGTACATGGGGCATAAACTAGAGGACTGCGGTCTGGGCTCTAGGATAGTTAAGTGGGTAGGGAACTGGTTGGAGAACCACAATCAGGGAGTAGTTGTCAGTGGCACTTCATCTCAGTGGGAGGTTAATGTCCAGTGGGGGGCCAGAGGGCTCGGTTCTGGGCCCAGTACTTAAAAAGTTTTTTTTTATAAATTACCTGGATGAGTGTGTGGAGGGGCTACTTATTAAATTCGCAGATGACACCGAATTGGGAGGAGCAGTGAACACACCAGAAGACAGAGATAGAATTCAACGTGATCCAAACACCCTGGGAAAGTGGGCGAATGTGAACAAGGCTAAAGCGATCTTTGGGTGTATCAACAGAGGCAGAACATCCAAATCGCAAGATGTCATAGTCTGGCTGTACACTGCATTGGTCAGGCCGCACCTGGAGTCATCTTGTGTGCAGCTCTGGAGGCCTCACTTCAGAAAGGATGTGGACAGAATGGAGGGGTTTAAATTGAGGGCGGGGGAAAACTGTTTTTACAGTTAAGAGTTGTGCAGCAGTGGAATGGGCTGCCTGGGGAGGTGGTGAGCCTCCCCCCCCCTCACTGGCGGTCTTGAAGCAGCGTCTGGACAAACCCTTCTTGTCAGGGGTGATCTAGGCTGATCCCGCACTGAGCAGGGGGGCTGGACTAGATGGCCTCTGTATGGCTATTTCCAACTCTGTGATCCGATGATTCCATCATTCGTAGTATTCCAGAGAGACTGTCTCATCTGGGGTCTCAGGACTTGGAGGGAACGCAGGGAACACAGCATAACGTTGCATTCACCTTTCCCACAGCTGCAGTGTACACCGGGCGGCCCGAGTGCGATTCTCCATTCAGCTATATGAATCTGCACACGGCGCTCTCATCTAACGTGCCTTTAACCAGTTTGCTGGCTAGGATGTCATGGGGGACTTGTCAAATGATTGTTATGTTCATAGCATTCCCATGGTTCACTTGGCTAGTAGCGTAATCGAAACAAGCAATGATGGGGTGGCAGGATTTATTTTTGAAAAATTCATGCTGTGTCCCCAACAGGTCCTGCAAGACCAACCTCATTTCCTTCTTTGATCGAGTGAAGAGCTAACTGGATTGAGGGAATGCTGTTGATGTTGTTTACCTGAATTTCAGTAAAGCATTTGGCAGGGTTTCCTATGATGTTCTGATGGGTAAACTAGAGGAATGTGGACTGGATTCTAGGATAGTTAGGTGGATGGGGAACTGGTTGTAGAACTGTATTCAGGGAATAGTTGCCACTGGCATCTCATCTGAATGGAGGGACGTGTCCAGTGGGGTGCCAGAGGGCTCGGTTACCTGGATGAGGGTGTGGAGGGGCTACCCATTAAATTCACAGATGACACCAAATTGGGAGGAGCAGCGAACACACCAGAAGAGAGAGAGAGAGAATTCAACGAGATCTGAACACACTGGAAAAGTGGGCGGATGTGAACAAGATGCTATTTAACAAGGATAAGTGCCGAGTCCTACATCTGGGTAACAAAAATGAGGAACACGCATACTAGTTGGGGGGTATGCTTCCGGGTAGTGGTGTGTGTGAGCAATATCTTGGGGTACGGGTGGACAAATAGTTAAATATGAGCAGCCAGTGTGATGTGGTGACAAAAGAGGCTAATGTGATCTTCGGGTATATCAACAGAGGCATAACCTCCAAATCGCAAGATGTCATAGTCCGGCTGTACACTGCATTGGTCAGGCTGCCCCTGGAGTCTTGTGCGCAGTTCTGGAGGCCTCACTTCAGAAAAGATGTGGGCAGAGTGGAGCAGGTGCAGAGGAGAGTGATGAGGATGATTGGGGGCCTGGAGGCCAAGTCCCAGGAGGAAAGGCTGAGGGACCTAGGAATGTTTAGTCTGGAAACGAGGCTGAGGGGGGACATGACGGCTCTCTTGAGGTCTTTGAAGGGCTGTCAGGGAGGAAGGGCAGGGAGCTGTTCCTGTTGGCAGCAGAAGATAGGACTCGCAAGAATGGGTCCAAATTAAGGGCAGGAAGATGTTGGATATTAGGAAAAACTTTTTCACATTAAGAGTTGTGCAACAGTGGAATCAGCTGCCTGGGAAGGTGGTAAGCTCCCCTCACTGGTGGTCTTGAAGCAGCGGTTGGACAAACACTTGTCAGGGATGCTCTAGGCCAATCCTGCACTGAGCAGGGGTTTGGACTAGACGGCCTGTATGGCCCCGTCTTTGATTCTATGATTCTATGAAGCAAGATTGCCCTGCAGGGGAGCCTGAACCTTAATTGTAGGCTCTTAACACCTTGTTTAAGGCAGCTGAGTTATGGATGGACACTGGTCAGGGAGGGAAGCTTTGTTTCAGGGCTGTATTATCTAATGGGGAATTTATTTGAGACCTTCATTTTGGAAGCCGGTGCAGAGAGTATTCAGCTGGAGATTTCTTGAGATGGACTTTGGGGGTGACAAGCTGTGAAGGAGGGAAAAGTTAATTGTTTCGAATTTAAAAGATCATTGTTCCATTCTATTTTTCTTAACATCGATGGTTTTGTTACATGACGTTAAGTGGAGAGTAATCATGTTTTATTTCTTTTAAATGATTGCAAGATTCATTCCAAGTTCTGCCCCACAGAACCCACAAGCTGAGGTTACAGCAGCTGGGGGGGGAGGGGGGTGGCAAGCAGCTGGGGATAATTAGTAAAGGTGCTGAGAACAAAACAGCCGGTATTGTAATGCCCTCGTATAGATCCATGGTGCAGCCTGATTTGGAATACTGAGTGCAGTTCTGGTCTCCGTATTTCAAAATGAAATTTGCAGAGCTGGGAAAAGTACAGGAGAAGGCAGGAGAATTTAGGATGATCAAGGAATTGGAGCCTTCCCTATGAGAAAAGGCTGAACAGTCTGGGGTTGTTTCGTTTAGCAAAAAGAAGGCTGAGGGGATGGGACATGTTTTATAACATTATGCGTGGATGGAGGGAGCTCTTCCTTAGTACTAGAACTCGGGCACCCAATGAAGTTGACGGTCGATAACGGACAGAAGGGGGTGGGCCTGGGGGCGGCAGGGGCCTCAGCAGAGCATGACACCATCGTGTCCTTCTAAAGTTGGCATTTTGACTGTGTCGAACTCTCCTGTCAGATCTAAAAGCAACAGCAGCACTGACCCGCCTGGATCCAGGTGCCTCTAGAGGTCATCTGTGAGGGCGACCAGTGCAGTCTCCATCCCATGACCACGGCGGAAGCTGGACTGGAAGGGGTCCAGAATAGAAGCATCATCTGAATAAGCCTGGAGCTGCTGAGCCACCGCCCTCTCAACTACCTTACCCAGACACAAAAGATTCGAGACTGTGCAGTAGTTGGTGAGGACTGCAGGGTGTAGCAATGGTTTTTTGAGAAGCGGATTACCACAGCCTCCTTCAAGCCCTTGGGAATACCTCTGAATTTAGGGGTCAGTTGATAATCTCTTCCAAGGGGGCCCAAACCCCATCCCCACAAGCCTTAACTAGCCAGGATGGGCACAGGTCAAGGGGCACACGGGAGGCCTTGCAGCCACCAGGATCTTATCCGCTTCCTCACTGGAGAGCCATGACTCCTGTTTATAGTTTGTCTTGCTTTTCCTTTGGACGCAGTTAACATTTCTGTTGTACTTTCGATGTTAAAAGTCACATGGTTTATCTTGTAAATCCTTTTGTTGGCCTCTGACACCCGAGGGGTCAGGCCCATAGCCAGAAGGGGGGGGGAGTGCTGTGGGCAGCACCCCTACTGAATCTTCAGTGCTTCAACCTCAATCTTCCCCCCACCCCAATCTTGCTGTTTAAGTCTCCTTTATGTCGCCGTCACCCTCTGCATGGATTGCTGTTTCCCCCACTGCCACCTTTGGAATAAGGCTTGAAGCGGGACTCGTCCTCGCAGGGTGGCTCCCCCAGCTGCTTGAGGGCACTGGTGGTGGCGTGGCTGCCCAATTCCTTGTCCAAGCTGGGGAGGCCAGTGGCGCCCATCACATGGCTCACCGCTGCCACCTCCACGCCTGCAGCTGCCACCACCAAACAAAGTGCAGCCAGCCCCCACCACAGACGCAGGCACCTTTAAAACATGCTGAGAAGGCGGGGGTTGCTGTGGAGTCCAAATGGATCCTGGAACTTCTTTGTGATCAGCAAGCAATCACCAGGATTTCTTTTGGGAACCTGAGCCTTTAACAGGTAAATGGCAGAAAAGATGGGGCAGTATGCCAAGTCCACACCACCATCTTTTTGGGGTAGAAAAGTTAACCCTTGGCCTCAGCCATGAAATCTTGTGATCTTATTTAATTTAATTAGTGGCCCCTGGAAAAATTCCTGGCTACGGGGCTGCTTTAGGCCTAAGGAGATTTCCTCTGAAAAGTTACAAGCCACAGTC